GTGACCTTCTAAAAGTACTCGCTTCTTGCTAAAAAGAAGAGCAAAAGGAGGTTTGGCAGTCTTGTACCATAGATACCGAACAAACGGGAGGTAGAGAAGAGGGAGATAAAGGTTTTGCCATAACCAGGGCTGAAAGTACAGTATGATAAATAGAAGAGGGAAAACTCCCCTCCGCCCTAGGCGCGACCCCGCCCCCCCGCGCTAGCTCCAGCGACTCCCACCACGACCCCCCCTTATATGTTGCTCCCTAATACGAAATACTGAGTTATCTCAGCTGCTGGGAGACAGCCACATATAGGAGTAAGAAAGTCCGAGGTGTGAGGACACCGCAAGCTGACGGTACGTTAAAAGATTAAAAAATCGGAGGACGTGCTACATGTGAGGGGGAACGGCAACTAGGGCCAGCGGCCAGGGAGGAAACAGCCAAACTACGGTGTTGCCTTTAAGGTTGAGCCATCACAACCCTAACCTTAATAATGTTTTCCCTACACAGGAACTAGTTGTATCTAGCTGCATTGGTGCGAGACTGCCACATATAGAACCTTTAAGAAGATCCACACCCCCTCGATAGAGCAAGCTGTACGGTACATAACAGATAAAAAAATGCAGGCCCGTAATCTGAAGGGGGGAACCGGAAACCTATGGCACAGGCAGGATTAGAAACAGCACGGGGGTGGTGGTTCTTCAAAGTTGAGCCATCAAAACCCCTAAATCCAAATGCCTGCCTGCCAGTAACTCATCCTGCATGGGTCCCCCTGTACCATTGACTTTAAGAGATCCACACCGTCTATATCTTGTCGTCTCTCACTCTATTTTTCACTGTTACAAATCCTCATGGCTTCGTCTCTTTTTCAACCCTTTTTCGTGCGCTGTGAGGTTGCAGAAGAGGGAAGCGCTGCATTTCATTTTAATTATTATTTTCCTAACCCAATGCTGCCGACCCTTCCTCTAGAAGCTGCAGTTATGGGTTGGGAACCGAAACTCGGTTCCAGATGAGAACCGATGAAAATGTTGGGTACCGGGTACCCATACAAAATACCCAATTTTGGTTCTGCTTAACGGTTCCTAAACACGGTAGACCCTGTATTCCATCGGCTCCATCTGCACCCCGGCAACCCGGTGGAATACAGGGGCGGACTGGCCATCTGTGTGTTCTGGAGAATCACACTGGCCGGACGTCAGCGGGCCGCTGGCGCCCGGCTCGGTTCGCTGACGGCCGGTGTTGTGTCAAATGATGCACCCCCGTCGTGAAATGCACCCCCTGGCCTGCCATAAAAAGCGCCCCCCAAAAAAAGATGCTTCTATTAATCCCACTCTCAAGTACTTTGGAGGGTATAGTTGTAGGACTAGTAGCCTACCAATAAATGGAGCAAGTTTCATGTATGTGACACGTGTATTGTCAGAGATAGCAAGGGGTGCATATCGTGGCAACCAGGCTGTTCATAAAAAGCACCACCCAAAATAAAAAATATATATATTAATCCCACCCTCAAGCACTTGATGTAAAAATAAAGAACACATTGTAAAGCACAAGTAGTCACAAGCAAAAGTATACAGACAGGACGTCACAATTAAATAAAAACATATATTAAATAAAAAATTAACTGAAAAATAAGTGACGAATGAATGAAAATCCAGGATTCGACAACCCAACCATCAAAAAGACAACATAGAAAGCGGACTATACATTCAAATGCGCGTTCCCGTGTCAAGGGGTGCATTTCACGACGGGGGTGCATAATTTGACACAACACCAGCACCACCGCTGACCAGCCCCCGTTTCGTCGTCACCCGACAGTGCGGTAACGTAATGTCCCCATGATCTGAACTGTCTATTACTGCAGTTAGCATCGTGTTAGCTGCTCGGCGATAAGGGCTGCTTGTTTCTAACACATTTCTCGAGTTCCCATTATTGACTGCTGTGTAAGCCAACCTTGCCAGATGATGAACACCCGCAGCTGGCCAGGTCACAGCCGCGCACCCTCGGACATAATAACGTCCCTCACTTACCCGTCTCTTAATTGCGACCCACATAAAATCGCCCACCGCGCCAATTCTTATTTACACCCACAATTACACTATCTTCTTATTATTATTATTACTACCCATTATTATTATTATTAATTATTATTTATTATTAATATGTATACTCTTTCACTTTTCATCTTTATTCTACTTCCTCTCTTCACTTTTCATTTTCCAAATG